AGTGTGCGTATGTGTGTGTTTTACATTTATATTATTTAATTACTTCAAAAAATATATATTTTTTTAATTCGTAACAGATTGTTTTGAAATTATAAATGAATAGTTTATTATATTAAAATATTTGATTTTTGAAATCTTGTTAATTTAGTATAAAGTTTGATAAGTTATGATTAAATTGTTTTGTTTGATTTTTAAAACATAAAATTGAATCTTCTTTTGATATTTAATTGTTGATAGTTAAGAAAGAACTATTAGAAACAATAATTACTAAACGAATTCACACTAATTTATTTACAAACTTCATATTATTATAAGAAAGTTCCATGTCAGTTCTTAAAAAACATAAAAGAAACGAAAAGATAAAAATAATTTATTCTTTTTTATATTATTATTATTTTAATGTATGAAGGCAGTTGTTTCAATTAAAAATAAAAAAAAACTATTCTGAAACTTTTACTTAAAAAAATTAAGTTAGGTTAATTATAGGATGAAAATAAAATGATTTAATAGTATTAAAATATAAATATGACATATATACAAGGAATTACCTCGGTCAAGTATTCCATATGACTATATCCTACATATTTTTTTTAATGACTTAATAACTAAAGTTGAAAGCCATTATTTTTATAGTATGATTGTAATAAATGTAATAAGATTTAAAAAATAAATATGAATATATTAAATTTTTTATTTTGATTATAAATATTTTTTTTATCTACGTGCGATTAAAAACTTATAAAAGTACTAGAGAAAACAAATTTTGGTAATTATTAGATGTCATACACATAAATAATGTAAGATAATAACCAATAAAAAACCCCTATAACTAAATAAATAAGAATACAATTTAATAATTTGATGAATTTATATGTAATTTATTATTTTTGGGTTTTAGTATTACAAGTTTTTATTGAGTTGTTTCAAAGCATTTTTAGAGGTTTAATAGTCAAAATAAAGTTTCAATAGGATATTAAATATGATTGGAGTGATCTAAGAAACTTATGTTATGTCTTACAGAGTTTTATAATTAAAAAATAATGGAAAAATGAGATTAATTTTTTTTTCTTATAACATTCGTTTACTTAACTAGAGTTGTGTTGGAATTACATATTAATAATGACATGTGTTTTAACATAATTTTGTATTATAAGTATAATAGTCAATAAATTTTTTTGTAAGAAAGAAATTAGTGCTTTAATTTTATATATAGTTTGGCCAAGATAAGTGTTTCCAGGGATGATGGCCTTATGTACCAAAAAAAAAAAAAAAAGCTCCAACATTGACCCGGTCCATGCTAAATGCACAACACACAAATCTTGAAGTTGATCGAGGGTGATATGTTGTCTATTTTATTTTCCAAGAAATTAAACTATTCCTGTCTTGATGTGATCAGTAGCTACTTTGCATTTACTTTTCGGTAACGTGTGTATTCGACTATATATATATATATATATATATATATTCACCTTATTTAATTATCCTACCTACGTACAATGATTATTTCCTACCTAATTGTTGTTATTATAATTATTAACACGATCGAGTTCTGTAAGAATTTACTAAAATTCACTCGATATATATAACTATTCTTCATATCCTTTGCGCTGGGATTTTCTCTTGTGGACGAAGGAGCTCTTCGATCTCGTTTCTTGAATCAGCTGTAGAGATCTCTCTCTCTCTCTCTCTCTCTGTAAATACGCTTTTATTAGGATTAAGTTGATTCTTTAAATGGCATGCCATAGTCCTCTTTTCCATTACTTAGTGAAAATCATTCCCAACTTAAGTTGTATTTATGATATTTGCAAATTGATTAAAGTTGTTTTTTCATTTTTGATTCAAAGATAAATCATAATTAAATACGTTTGATTATGAATAACTTTTAAGTTCTAATCAAAAGTTTGTTAAAAATTTGAGTTAAAATTTTACATTAATCAAAAGTTAAAATTTGTATCTTCTAACTTATCGATTCTAACTTGTAATACTTCAGTTCTTCAAACAAAATTACTTTAAATTATTTTTTTTGCTAAAAATGCCTCTAAATTAACTCACCATTACTATTAAATAATTGATTTTCCAATGCCATTCGTAAAGATGAATTTGTGCTATACAATAATGCTACGGATCTCAATTGCACGAGGTGACCAAAACAGGCCACAGAAATGGAATATCTGGTGAACTAATTTCGTATCAAGAAAAAATAAGGGTTGACTCGTCGTATATTTCTTTGCAAATACCCAAGAGCAAATCAGGTGAACTAATTTTGTTTCTTTCTTTTGAAAACAAAACCTAATGAAGGTCAAGAATTATAAAGAAAAATATTTGGGTTAACTGTCAGTATCGGACGTGGAATATCTCCACCAACTGAGCTTAAAATTTATGCACGGTTGTGTTTTTTTTTTTTTTCCTACTCAAGCGACCTTTACCAATTAAATGGGAATATGGAAAGGCTGGAAGAGCACCAAACTTGCACTCTAAGCTCACTTCCAACGTTTCATCATCAAATGCAATGCTATGAATATTCCCACCTATTATCTTTACTTACTTGAGACTTCTCTACATTTATCTCTTACTCCAACAAATCCTTCAATTAATGAATATTGTCTCTTTACTTTGCGTTTATTTTTGGGCATTTGACTAATCTTTAGCCCCATATATTATTCTTCATAGATAGTTCATATATAGTTAACAAGTGATTATTTCCGACCTAATTGATCTGTATATTATGAGCATAAGTGCTGCAAGAATTTACTAAAATTCACCCTATATATATATATATATATATATTTTATGTGTAGTGAAATAATATTTCCAACCTACGTACAGCTTGATGTTCTGATAGATAGGTACCCTTCATAAAGAAGAGTTAATTAATTTGTGCCGTACAACAATGCTATTCTGAAGGAAGTTCATAAAATTACCATTCTATGGGATGAGTAAGCAGGCCATATATATGTCTCTAAATTCTTCAATCATTTGATAAAATTACAATTAATATATAGGTTTATTCAACTATATATCGAATATTTTTCATTAATATTAATAAGTTGTTTTAATTTTAATAAAAAGAATAAATCAAATTTTATTGAATTAAATTGAATATTTGATATTTGAAATTTAAACGGTTTTATATAAAGTTTGATTCCTAATTAAAATAGCTATCATTTTTTATCTTTAATGTGAGGCTTCTATCTTATGAGTTTATGAACCAAATCAACGGACGAAAGTCCAAGAGGATAATTTAAAAGGACAAACGTTCATTGGTCCTTTAAAAGGCCATAATTTTTTATCTTGATGTTCGATTAATGCAAATCATATAAATTTTAAAAAGCTTACTTAGAGATACACGACATGATCAGATGATTTTAATAGTAATCAAATGCTATTTTTGAGGTCAAAATCCACTTTTGGATCTTTTTGTGATCCAAACTTGTAGAATCAGCTGTCTAGGTTGCCCCAATTTAGGAATTAAGACTTTTTTTTTTTTTTTCTAATTTTTGTATTTTTAGAATTAATTTGGAGATTACTAGGTTATTTTATTTCATAGTTTAGCCCTTCGTGAACTAGGGAATACTACGTATGTTGTTTACAGACATTTGGCCACCTTAATTGAATCATTCAAACTTGTGAGTTTTTCACAATTTATTATGTTTTTCTCTTCATTTAGGATTTTTGAATATTAAATAACCATGTATCAATATGTTGTTCCTGTGTTAATGCTTAAAATTATATAAAATAAATATAATTTTATTAAAATAAAAATGAAGAATGAAAAACTGAATTCTCATTCAACACAGTTTACACACACACACATATATAATTTTTTTGTTAGCATAGTTAGAAATTGAATAATATTTCTGTATATTGTTATAAGAAAATTCCATATTTTTATTAAAAAAAGGAGAGAATGATATATATATAAGGCTTATTGTTAAAAAAATTCATAATTTTTTATAAGTATAGTTATAAATTGAAATAATATTTCTTCATATTGTTATAAGAAAATTTCATATTTTTAGTTGGAAATAGTTGTTTTAATTAAAAATAAAAGAAATTATTTGGAATTTTTACTTTAAAAGTAAATTTAGTTTGATTATAAATGAAAGAAATATAATTTAGGATCCTGGCCATCATCTTTTATAAAAATATATCTCTAATATATTTAATTATGCATCAAGATTAAAATATCAAGGATAATCCACATATAGAGCTGCATGCAAGTCCGCAAATTAATAGCATCATTTATGCAAAAGAACCTGTATAAACTAGCATGGATAAGGATTTAAATCTTTTATATCAATAAAGTTCAATTGAATTTATTGCAAAATTTGTTTCAAAGGCTACTTGCAAATTAGATTTTGATGGAGTACTGTAAAAAGTAAAGACGGACAGATTGGAGACGAGAAGATAAAAGAGCATGGCCAAAGAGATCCCATAATATTACCACAAACAAACAGACAAAAGTAGATAAAACAATTTTTTTTTTTTTTTTTTTTACTCAAAAACAGATTTGATTAGTTGGTTTGAATGAAAAGCAACCGAAAAAAAAACTAATGATATATATTTACAATAGGGGGAGAGAGAGAGAGAGTTTCCGTACTTACACCGCTTGGTCGCCAAGTACAATTGTGGAAAGCTGTGCTATTTTTTACTTTGTTTTTTACGTGATAAGTCCATTCTTGCGAGGATTGTGATAAGCTATAAGCGGGCACTGTTGATTCCTTTTACCCTCTCAGCTCTCAGTTTAAAACTCAGTTATTGTACTCCTTTCCAACTCAAGGAATCTGTGGTTGTCGATGTCTGTTTGTGAGCTTTTGCATTTGCACTGATTATCGCCACTCAAAATGAAGAACAACCTAATTAATTAGCTGGGATTTTGCTCGGTTCTGAGTGCTTTTTCTTTATTATTATTTGTCTCTCTGTTCTCATTTCTGGCCTGCGCTCAAATACCGTAGAGTTGATTCTGCGAGAGAAAGGGAGAGATAAAGAGAGCATTTTTCATGGTTGTGATGGGGTCAAGATGGTGGCGTTTGAGTTTGAGATTGATAGGAGCAACTTTGATTGGTTTTCTTGGTGTAGCTTCGTTGCTTGCCATAGCAGAGGCAAGACAGAAACAAGAAGTTTCAAGTACGGAGCATGAGATCAATCCAGAAGATGAACCTGGTTTTTTGATGAGAGCACTGAATTTCTTGTGGCAAAAAGGTGAACTTGGTTATACACATGTTTGGCCGGTAAGTCCAATGTTTTTCTTAACTTCGTACGTGGTTTTGTGAGATTTTCTTCTGGTTCTTCCTTGATTTTTTTCTGCACCGCTGCTCAGAAAATCTAGGATAAGAGTGCCAGGTTTTAACCTTGGCCTCATGCTACTATCTTGACTTTGTTGAGCTTATATTTCTCCTTCTGGGAAAACCAAAACTGACAAGAGATATTGGATCACAAAAAAATTGTGTCGACTGTATTACACTTGTTTTTTGTCCTATTTCTATTTGTTGTTCCAGAAACTGTGGCTGGCATCTATCTTATATGACTTATGAGTATGATTTGTGACAATGGATTCATAGGACATGAAATTTGGCTGGAGAATTGTGGTGGGAACCATAATTGGATTCCTTGGAGCAGCATTTGGAAGTGTGGGAGGTGTTGGTGGTGGTGGCATTTTTGTTCCCATGCTTACCTTGGTTATTGGGTTTGACGCAAAATCGTCCACAGCTATATCAAAATGTAAGAGAGATTGATTCATCTTTTATGGACACTTCCATTTCTATTAATTTTCTCTTGATGGAAGATGCTTAATTAGGAGGTCAAATGAAAGCTCGTCTCTCCAAATATCTCTGACTTGATTCAAAATTTTGATAAATGAAAGCTTGGAGTACTAAATTTGTATAAATTTCTGCTTGTGGATGACAATCCCTTTCATCTAGGTCTTTTCCCCATTCAATCACCAAAAGGCAGTTGTATAAACTTAGATTTGTTTGGACAGTTATGATTACAGGTGCAGCGGCTTCAACAGTATACTATAATTTAAAGCTTAGGCATCCTACACTGGATTTGCCCATCATTGACTACGACTTAGCTCTCCTATTTCAACCGATGTTGGTGTTAGGAATCAGCATTGGGGTGGCTTTCAATGTGATTTTTGCCGAGTGGATGATTACGGTTTTGCTGATCATTCTCTTCATAGGTAGCCGTTCTTTCAAGTGAATTTCACCTTGTTTATTTGATAACCTTCTCGATTAATTAGTTGTTGTCTTAATTATGCAGGCACATCAACTAAGGCTTTCTTAAAAGGTGTTGAAACATGGAAAAAAGAAACTATAATGAAAAAGGTGTGCTAATATTTTTTCTTTACATCAAATAATTATATGTGGTTACATATTAATTTCTGCAAAACTTCATCTAATCACTTATTTCTGATTTTCAGGAGGCTGCTAGACGCTTGGAGTCAAATGGTAATTTAGATGGTGAATTTTTACGGATTAATCTATTGAGATGTATTCGTTCAAGGCTAGTTTGGTTTTTAATCAGGTGATGGTCATGAAGAAGGGGAATACGAAACTCTTCCTGGAGGTCCAAGCGGTGAAGGGGAAGCAGAGAACAAGGAGCCTAAAAAAGAAGTGGTAAGATAGGAATACTGATATGTGATATCTGTACATTTCATGAGTTACTGTTTTTGGGACTGACTTCAGTAACCTTTTTAGGTCCCTATTGTCGAGAATGTGTACTGGAAGGAACTGGGACTGCTCTTTGGTGTCTGGTGTGCAATCCTTGCATTGCAGATTGCCAAGGTCCTTGTTTTCTCCCTGTTTTTTGTCACTTAAAACTTCATTTTTCCATACTTAATGAGGTAGAATGATGATAAAACCTTTTGATTTGATGGGCACAGAATTATACAAAAACTTGTTCGGTGGCATATTGGGTGCTGAACTTGTCGCAGGTACCATGATCATGATCATCAGATAATAAATTACTTAAATCTGTTTCCTTGCTTATATGGCAAATTTCATAGCTGTGAGTTGGGACAAAGCACTGCCAGGATAATTTCTGAACTTATGGGGTTAATAATTTTTGCATTTCTTACTTTTCAGATCCCAGTGGCTGTTGGGGTATCTTCATATGAGGCTGTAAACTTGTACAGAGGAACGAGGAAGATTGCATCCAAGGGAGAGGCAGGCACCAATTGGCGAGTACACCAGTTGATTCTCTACTGTTGCTGTGGTGTTTTGGCTGGTGTTGTCGGTGGGCTGCTTGGTCTAGGTGGAGGATTCATTTTGGGGCCACTTTTTCTGGAGCTGGGAATCCCACCTCAGGTGCATTTTATACCTTTTGAGACTTCAGTTATCTTCTGCGAAAGGTTATTATAGTTTGCTTGATGGTCTTCTTCCTTCTGGCCATGTTAAAGATATGAAATGAAGGAAACAAATCACCTTCTATGGAAAAGGACGAATTGTTGTTTACTCATCGTTGAGTTCGTAATCTGGGGCTTATCTTTTGATACAGGTGTCAAGTGCCACAGCGACCTTTGCTATGACCTTTTCTGCCTCCATGTCTGTAGTAGAGTATTACCTTCTGAAAAGGTTTCCAGTTCCTTATGGTGAGTAATTTACTGATCAACCATTCTCTTTGTAGGAATTCAGCTCCAAAGCTAGAATTGCAATTTCCAGGCTACATTAGCATTGAAAACCAGTTCTTTCAGAATTCAATATACAATATTACGCATTTATCATCGTCTTTAATTTCCAACGCAGCCCTATACTTCGTTGCTGTGGCGACTGTTGCTGCCTTCGTAGGGCAGTTTGTGGTGAGAAAGATGATCCAATTATTAGGGAGAGCATCACTCATCATCTTCATCCTGGCCTCCACCATTTTTGTCAGCGCGATATCACTAGGTATGCGTTGTTACACCACCATCTCATTGATTGTTAACAGCAATGGATTTCCATGATGTACCATTCTTTTTTCCTTCCATCAATAATGGTTTATTTTCCTTTCCAAACAGGCGGAGTCGGGATAGCAAACATGATTGAAAAGATTGAACACCACGAGTACATGGGATTTGAGAACATTTGTTCATATAAAGCTTAGTCCTGGAAAACCCATTTTTCTTTTTCAGGTTGGCTCAATCTGAAACGCCTTTCCGTTGTTTATTTTAGCTTCAAAATTCTAAGAGTACTTGGATTCAATTTCTTAATTCTCCATTTTGGCTTATGTCTAAACACTGTTCACATTAGCTTTGATCAAAGGAAGGTCCAAATAATTCAGGTTTCACACTTCTAGTGGTGGACTGGTAGTTAGCAAGTTACATTACACGCATACAATAGACAGAACTGGATTCCATTAACATGGGAATAAATCATGTCCAATAATAATAAAATATGACAGCAAATCCTCAGAAGACATCTCACAAACGCATAAATTTCATTGGTATTGTGAGTTATCAGTATAATAACAGAATAGAAACCTGGATTCTCTTAGTAACTATTCTCTGTCAGTCATCACATGATCAGTATACAATGGAACTGAATTTCTGTCTTGTAGACTATGGACAACTCTTTAGAGTTTTCTTTCATTAAGTCTGGTTGCTTGCTTTAGTTGTAACTATTAAAAATGTGGCAACGAATGCAAGCAAATTTAAATTACTTCACAAAATATGTTCCAGGATCCCATTTAGAAACCCATCCAGCTTCTTGTTTTTGGATAACGTTATATTGTCACTGCTCCTAATCGCTATATTTCTATAGTTCATCTCTGGGGACTTCCTCTTTGGCTGTCAAATGAGATTTGATGACTGCTGCCAAGTCCTTTGAGCTGGATTTTGTTGAAAGCTTGATCTGCACAATGAAATAGGTTTCATGCATCAGATTCTAGAATCAGAATAAACAACTAAAAAAGAACAAATATAGTAATGGAAATGAATATATCCTGAAATTATTACCGGATTTGCTTTATCCCGCGCTGAATAAAATAGAAGCGTTGGATAGTCATCCACCTACAACAATTAATAGTAACAAAGGAAGACTTCTCAGTATTACAAGTTCTTCATCAATTATTTTATACAGGATCAAAACGTTCTCATTAATGATGAAATTCTAACAACTCCTTGTTGCTGAGGGAGAAAAGAAGTTTCTTCGCCCCAAATGCTGAGGGACAGTTTTCTAACAGATTGCTTACTTGTCTCGTTAAGCAACCGACCAATATGACAGATTTGAATGCCAGGTGGCTGCATAAAAGCCCCCCTGGCAAATTTCATAGATTAATTTAAATACGATTCTCTTTCAATGATTTTAAACTGTTTACTTTAATTTGCAACAAAACTGTGATAAAGCAATTTATTTAAATCTCTTACCTGAAGTTTTGGATGTTCATTTGCAGAAGCATCTATCCTTGCAAAAACTAAATTGTCTAGACCTTTAAAATGCTTAGCCAACTTCTCGACCTGCTTACTTGTAGTCTCACAGTTGATGCACCACGGTGTATATACCTGTTGTTAATGTTTTCCAAGAAGAAAGTTGAAATAAATACTAGTTGTACCATTTCCTTAATTCTTATGATCTATATGGTATTTTAGACAAGAGCGACAGGTATATGGTTTCTGAAGATGCAACTCACTCGAAATATACTACAGCGTAATGAAAATGACTCATCACCTTAGCATTTTCTAGAAATGTTGGTTTCATGGAAATCATTATTTTGCATGTCGCCATGTTTGGTTCCATAAGCGCACTCATTTCTAACATTAAAATGCATCCCTTTTAAAATCAGGAATAAGATTTTGTTTTCCACCCAAACTTGCAGAGCTTAAACCTGAGGTGCATGAGTACATTGAAACGATGCTTACCTCTAGGAGTACATTCTTGGGACTGCTCAAAACCAAGTCATCAAAAGTCTTCCCTACAACGATCTGGACAATTTTCTCTTTCTGCAATTTCCCACAATCACAAGATGTTTTAAAAAATGAACTGATGAGCCAGTATTGCATAACAATTCCAAGCTTCATCACTCTCAAGAACAAGAAATAATGGATGTTCAGATGAAGGAAATTGCAAGTACCCCAAGTTTTCACAGGATGAAAGGAGCCAATGCACTTTTTATAAATATTAAACAAGTTTGCTCTGATGATACTGTTATCCTCCCTCCAATAATTGTCTAAGATTATGGTATTATTGAAGCATAATAATACCACAACTATTTATATTAATTTCCATCAAGGCACAGCTATATTACATAAGCCATGAGTGACTCTCTGCCAATTGCCATCTATCAAAACATTAAAGCAGGATCTCAAATTATAGATTGTTCACGAAATTTTCCTCCAGAATAGAACAGAGCTTCTCCAGCTGACCAACTAAAGCAAAGCATCATCAAAAGCCTGCCTTCTTCCAAACATGCAAGCGTTATTATCATGTCTTCTTTAAAAAAGAGAAAAACTAAGAAAAATCCTCCATGCTTGGATTACATGTACATTTACCTCAACCAATTTAAATAAAGTTAATGAACTCACATTATCAGGTACTGGTTGTGATTTGAAGTAAGGTGACAGACTACCATGCAGAAGCCTTGAGCAGAATTCCTACAAAAGCCAAATTATATCATATTAGCTAAGCTGGATATTCTCAAAAGAGGAATGAATAGTGAAGCCAAAAATTACTTGGATGTTGCTTGGTGTTGGATTGGACTCTAACAAATACTTTGAGCTCATACCGTTGTCAAAAGCAGTCACCTATCAAGCCAGTACAGGTAAATTTCATTAAGCTAGGAAACTTTGATATGAACTTCAGTAAAAATAAGTGAAACTACCACTGGAACTAGAAGAAAACAATTAGAAGCTAGCTAGGAAACTAACCACAGTGTTTTCAGAATCTTCAAGCCCAAATAATGTTAAGAAGGGTTTTGCTTGGTTTTCATCTGCTATGTCTATGTATATGAACATTATCTACACCAGAAGGTCAAAATTAGGAAATTAAAATGTCAAAATTAAATTAACCAGACAAAGTACCTTTGATATGAACTTCCTGGCAACCTCTTGAAGAGGCTGAATAAGATTTTTGAAATCATCAGCATCTGCAAAGACAATAACCTGCAGCAAATGCAATTCGTCTCAAAATTTATTCCATGAGACCGCTTGAGCATGATCAACATTGTTTTTAGTGTAGCTGTTGATATAGAGAACAAATTATAACTGTTTTATTATTGCTATTTACATGATTACAGATGTGACCATGGATAAACTTCTCACTTAACAAATGCTTGAGGAAGAGTCAAAATCAAAGTTTCCAACATGTTCGCCAGATCTACTTCCATAAGTTCATAACAAAAGCTGTTAAAAAAAAATTGTGTGTTTCTGGAAGAGTACTGCTACAAGGCCTGGGTTTGATTTCGCTGTTCATGTTTAACTTTAATAGTGAGTTCTCTCATCTTAGAAATTGAAGCTAACAGGTAACTGATAGAAGACAGTGCAATCAACGCTATATCATATTGTTGCACATTGCATGCAAATTGATTGTCTCATAATATTAGGAAAAGTGAAGTAAAACTAAATTAATTAGAAGCACTGATACGCCTTAATGAATGAATGCCCAAATGAAATAAGCATTATAAATCCACGATGACTTAAACAGGACTGATTAATATTTAGTATACTAGAATCAAAGCATTAATTTCTGCCATATCAGTGCCTCATTCTACTTTTTCTCTATTTACAAAACATTTAAGTTGAAAGTAACAACCTGAAGTTTGACAGGACTGGAATAAACTCTGGCAGAGTTCAGCTCAGTAAGCATGGTAACAAGGGGAAACTTGTTATATTCCAGAAACTGTAATATTGTGTCCTTCTCAAAGATCCCTCCTACAAGACAGGCAAGTTTCCGTTCATGAAGTCAGTAAATTCAGGCTGATTGGCATTAATTTCATTAAACATGAAAAACATCAAACAGAAAAACAAGAATGAACAAATCTTGAAAGCACTCTCTGTGAAGATGAAATGAATTAAAAGTTGGTTGAACTCCACATGACTAACAGTATGCCAACAACCCATATGCTGTTGCCAATAAGCAACTCACCGTAAGCTGTGTATCTTTCAGGCTCGCTTTTAACAATTCCAATGAAATGGTCTGTAGCATTGATATTCGGGAAGAGAATTTTAGCAACAGCAGAGCTGCTCACTTCAACAAACTGGATTTCATTGTCTGTGGTTGCCGCTTTTATAAATTCTTCATAATCATGTCCCTGAGAAAAAAATTCATGTTTATGGAGAGAAATCCTGAAAATGTGAAGACGTGTAAAGCTTGATTCGGCAAATAGAACATTTAATGCATTGAAACATCTAGGAGATACTGGAAACAATGAAACACAAAAGAACATAAAGCTAAAGATGCTTAAAGCTACGTAAAATCCCAAAAATATCAAAGAGGAGAAAATTTGTAGTGATGAAATGATGCTCAACCATTTAAAATCTTGTTACCTTTCGAACTCTGAATATATAAGATATAGTTGACATCTTCTATCAGACATGCTAAAAATATACATTATATTTGTTATTGTTCAACACAATTCCCTCTTTGAGAAGGGCTTGCATCACTTAACTGTGCTGCATGTTAGATCAAACTTTATGAACAAGTGTTATAAACAATACAAAACTATATAAAACTAAACCTCACCATCAGCATATTAAAAACAATTGAAGAAAATAGTTTGTGCAGTGATGGTTGTTATGAAAACTGAGTCGAAGTCATGGACCATCATTTACTTCAGGTAACTGCAGCATACCAATTGTGCCAGGCACCATTGTGTGCTGTAGATGTTTGATAGATTGTTAGACGACATCCAACACAAAAAATCCAGGTGTTATAAGCTCTCGAGGCCAAGAGAAGATGAAATGAACAAAGTTCGAAAGCCAACATTGAACATCAACCAGTCAGACAAAAAGATGCAACATAGGTGAGGCCTAATTAACAGAACGGTCAATGGTGATAAAGCATTCATTTGACAGCCCTTTTTCAAACCACAACACTTTACCTCTGGTTAAATGTCATGCAGTGACAACAATTCTGCATTGAGGCAAGGACTGAGTGCAAACACTGTAAATTCCAAAATATGCGTTTCTGTATTTCATTTACTACTGACTAGCAAGTTTATAATGCAGTAAAAAAATTATCAAATATATATAAGGCAGTTTAAAGATACATACCTCAAACTTATCAAAAAGACCAAGAACAAACATATGACACTTCTTAAGAAAATCTTCAGCCTCGACACTTGAACTTATCCTAATAACAGGCACACCTGTCTTTTTCCTAGCCCAGATCACTATATCTTCCCTGATTTCAAATTAATCACACGAAATCAATCGATGAAAATTCAGCACATTAATTAATCTCACATAACTATAATAATAACTTGAAAAAAAATCAATTTGTTCAACAAGACGAGAATTATTAAAAAAAAAAAAACTTAATCAATCATAATTGTCATTAGAAAACAAGAGCAATAAAACAATAATAATAATAATAAAAAAAGACATACCCAGAAAATCCACCAGTGTAAACCTGCGAGGTCCCATTGACAAAAAGAAGCAGAGTAGGGAACCCTTTGATCCCAAGAGTTGAAGCAACTTTTGGGTACCTTTCAGCATCAAGTTTAGCCATCAAGACAGGACTCCTCAACTCCTTAAGCTTATTAGCAGCCTCAGCAAATTGAGGCATAAGCTCGGCACTCCTTGCACACCAAGGTGCATATCCAAGAATCAACACAAACTCATTCTGATCGATAACCCTTTTCACATTATCACTGTTTAGCTCAAGAACTATCCTTTGTGCTTTGGACAATACCTCAGCCTCCTTCTGTTGGTCACCTTGCTTCTGCTCTGCTGCTCCTCCTCCTCCTCCTTGCTCGTCAATTGCTATCAATTCTTGTAAATCATTATCGACGCCATCATTATCAGTTTCAACGGTTGGGTCTTCATTGGCAGTGACAAAGATGGTACAGGTGAGTAAAAAGAGGATGGTGAGAGTGAAAAGTATGAATCTGGAAGTGGGTTTTGCAGGAAACATGGTAGTTTTGTTGAAAGGAGAGGTTTTTCTTTGCTGTTTGAAATTCGTATAAAATGGGGCTTTGAGGGGTTTCTGAATCTGCGTTAAAACTTAAAAGGGTCTGATCTGGAGATCTTCCTTAATTAGTGGAGGTTATTAAGGGAGTAATATACAAGTGGGGAAATGAGAGATAGGAAAGAACGTGAAGAGAGTTGTAGTCTTAATTAGAGAGCCGGAGTGTTTTCTGTTTAGTCCAAAAGAACAGAAATTGATTTTGACAGCTCCAATGGGTCCCTTGTCTGTGGTGCTTACTGCCATAACTTCCTAGTTTTGGGATAACTTCACTTTTTGTCACTGAAAACTAAGTGATTCATCGTTCGGAACTCATCTTGCGGAAATGAGCAAACACTTATGTCATTTATGCATTTTACTTTAAATTCTGTAATAAAGTCATGTCTAATTCCTAAGTGATTGTAGAAAATCCCCTTGTCTGACGAAGATAGCTTGGATCGTTCTTTGCACAATTCCTAGGTGCTCTCTCTTCCTAAACCATCCATATATTTTCGGATTATTTTTTTCATGTAATAATCTTTACTTTTTGAGTAATATTTAAAATCATCACCTGATTTAATTATTTTGTTGGTATTAAATCCATTTCTTTTTTGTTGGACTACGATGGATATTTTTATTGATCGAAAGATAATATAATTTTTTTTATATAATTTTAGATAATTGAGATTTTCTATCAATCGAATAGAATCAGATAGTGTTATTTGTTTTTTTGTTAATTTACAGTGGTGTCGAACTTGATTGCGGGCGTAATATATAAAAAGTTCCATCTTAGACCATTTTTATTAGAAAGTTTGAGTGAATTCTTTATATATAAACCATTTGTTAACCGAAAGAGAGTTATTCATCATTATTATAAAATGATTTCGTCTAAATATTTTCGATGTATCTTAGCAATAGTTTTTGGTATCATTATGCCACAATAATGATGATATATTTGTTTGATTTATATTATGAGTAAATTATAATCAATTTTTTTAGTTTTTCAAAAGGAATTAAATAGTCCCTCTAGCTTCAATAACTAATTAATTAGTCTCTATATTTTAAATTTTTATGCAACTTAATCTTTTTCATTTTTTTTCAATTTATTTTATTTTTTAATAAAAAATAAGTAAAAATATAAAAAATAGATGAGAAAAGATTTTTTTAAAAAATAAAATTAATATTAAATTAATCATAATTAACACGGGTTAAGAGATTGAATAGTTAGTTTTTAAAATAAAAAGAATTCTTTAATTCATTTTGCAGAACTAATTTATAAATTACTCTTTATATCATCAATGAATTACTATCTTTTATAAAAATAACAATAAAAAACACATCCTTAAAATAAAAAGAACTTTTTAATTCATTTTGCAGAACTAATTTATAAATTACTACTATCTTTTATAAATAAAAAACACATCCATGCCAGAACAACTCAATTCCTGGCCGTCAAATTTGCCAATTCTCAACATCTTCAGTCTGGACAACCCAGAGGAGCCAAAACCACAAAGAATTTTAACATTACTGACAGTAACACAACATCTCTTCCAGTACCAATACATTCTTATAGGGCAAGGGAAAGTAACCCTAAAAGAAGAACTTATCTGCAGTACCTTATAAAACTAGCATTGGTTGGGATTTGAGAAGAAAGAAGAGACCTTGTACTTATTTGCTGACAGTAACAAAATATTATTTTTGTTCAACAACATTAATCCACTATATTTAACAATATACATGAATTCTTACATACATTTATCACTTTCAACTCTTACGTCCGGTAAGCATACATTCATACAAATATACACTTATTTTCATACATCTTACACAGGGCAACAAGCCGGAAATGAAAAAAGGAAATTTCATGTGAATTGATTTCTCTCTTCATTAAAATGGAATTCATGGAAGCACAACAACTCAAGATGATGTATTCACATAGAGTGATGCCATAAAGGGATCAGTCATATATTGCAGCGTGCCAGAAGTACCTCAGTTATAGGTGCATATATTTTTCTTGAACTTAATAGGTTTAGAGCTGCTAGAATCAATGACCAAGGGGCAGGAGATTTGCCTTCGATGCTTTGTCCTGACCAGCTTTCCCACCACATTGCCTCGTGATTTGATTTCAAATTTCAGCTTCAATGGAACTACAACACCAGTTTGTGAAACTTCTAGACTTGATCCAGCTCCATACAAGGGAACCTTATTTCCTTCCACAATCACAGATACAGTTCTGCGACTCTTTCTCGGCTGATAGTATTTCTTCAGCTGCGGGATTAAAGAGAAATCAGTGACAATCATTGTTGATTTTTATTACTAATTAGAGACCAATTTCTCTTATTTGAAAGCAAAGGTACATCATGCTATTTCTTCAAACTTGCAACATCCAACGAATCCTTGCTGATTCGCATTCAATACTATTACATGGTAATGGAAAGGATTATACCTGACCAGTTGCAACGGGAATCTCTGAGTATACAAGATTGATTGGTGTGGAGCTGACATGAATGCCAAATATTGTAGCAGGGTTGTAAACACTCATCCTCAATGAGCCATTCACTGTAAGCAACTTCGTAAGGACACCAGAGGAGTCGGTACCTTCCCCAACATAAAAGTTACTTACTGCCAAGCTCTGCAAGAATCAGATTTTCCATTAGAAATCAATTTCAAAATAGAAACATGTTAGCTCAAGAACCACATATGATTAGCTTCTGAGTGACACACTACACGGCTTAATTCATCCTGTATTAGAGAAACATTTGGGACCATCCGTGGTTAATTCATAGCAATATTGTTGAGGCTTCAAATGCAATGATTCCCTCCAATTAGATGAACCATACAAATCACACACCGTGTGAGAATCTTCCAAAGGAGACAGGAATGTAATACAAACAAGCGGCTATCCAAAGGTGGATGATGAATCTCAGCAAGTACAAGCACCAGATGAGGATTTTAAATTCAGGTAGAGCAGCACAATAACTTCGGATTGGTCCTTTTGATCACAGAATTCATCTGGTTGGTTCAATTGTTCAGGTGTTTGACCAGGGAGTTTAGAGTCCTAGTTGTTCAGAAAGATGGCCTTCCACATAAATATTTTTCATTTTCTGGACAGAGTAACAATGTGGAAGAAGAAAAGACGGGTGCCATGAACTAGAGCAGAAATAAACTGTGCCCTTACGGTTGAACAAATACAGGCTCAACCTGCGGGGGGAATAGGTAGAAGAAAATCACTTGAAAATGGAATATCTTCAGGTAGACATCTCATTGTTGAGGAAAAGGGACCAAAAATATTTGTTCATTTCCAGAATTAACCATTGGATGCTAGTTTTGAACTTCCTAGACATCTCACAGATTTCAGAAGTAGTTATGGATGAAAAGACGATCAAGTAGAAAGCTATATGTATAAGGCCCATAAGCAAATCAATGATGCTTCCAAACTATAGACAGTCAAACTGTATAATAAGAAATGAATATGTTACGCAAACAGTTAAAAAGTGAGGCCAAATTTGCTGGTCAAATTTGCTTTATGGAATCAGTACCAAACTCCAACTTTACTTTGCATATAAACTGTACTACAATCCTTTTTATTTTTTTATTTTTTTGTTATCTGTCTCCTTTAGCTTTAAACAGCCCAATTATTGCAAAATGATTCCTTTATTGCAGCATTGTTTCAATCTGATGAAAATAAATGCTTGTATAACAGTTTCAGAAAAGGTGCAGCACATTAATTTACCATAATTTCCATTCTAATGCACTCTCATGGCTCAATTCTCCTGAACAAAATGCTTATTCTAATGATCATATTGAGCAGACCAAATATAAAAGATAACATGAAACTAAAAATTGGCATACCTTGACTATAATCTCTGCTTTGTAAGGCCTGCTAGCACCCCATATAATCAAGCAAAAAACTGAAAACAAAAACACAAAACTTAAGAGAGCAATCAAGGCCTGAAACCTCCTGGTAAACGCTTTATCCTCATCGTCATAGTTCCCTTCTTCCATGATCACATTACACTCAGGCCACCCTTTATCATTCCATTCTTTATTGTCATTTCTTTTCCTGCCGCCACCTTTCCTCCCTGAAGAGGACCTAAATATCCCTGAAAACCTACTAGCCGACGAGTTCCTTGAGTGGCGACCGAAAGAAGGGTGTGATGGTGACTCCATTGGACTTGGTTGCATTGAAGATGACTTGTCTCCATCATGTGAGTCCCTTGAAGGGCTTTGTACATAATATACAGGACGTTTTGGAGACCTTGAAGGTGATGATGGGGCTAAACTAGTAATATCAGATTCAGATTTTGTGGAAAGCATTGTAAGACAATTAGTGTCTTTACTAGTTTTAGACACTATAAACAATTGAAGTAAAGAGACGAAAGTTAATCTTATATGCTTCCACTTAGAAACATTTCGAATTTTGAGTGAACGAGGACTTCAACAACAACCAATCTAAAAACCAGTACAATTAATTCAATTCAATACTACTAGAAACTGGAATGTTTTTAGTGATAAATCAAGTACAATTCCAAAAACAAGAAAAGAAAAAAAAAAAACAATGCTGTATACCAATAGAAATGAACGAGTAGCTAGTATAGAATCAAGAAAACAAATGAAATTCAAGAAATAGAAATTTAAGCAAGAACCCAAGACCTGGAATGATCACAGTAATGGGGACTCTTAACTGAAAAATCTTAGACACAGAGTTGTCGAAACAAACGGGACTGAGACACAAAGATAGTAAAGGTACAACAACTGTTTATACTTTATAACTATACTGACAAAGCAACAAGCTCTGTTTTCTTCCACGTCTGTGTTATCTATCTAGCTGTCTTTCCCTCAATGCATGAAACAATTGCTGTAGGTGCTTTCTTTATCGACACCCAATAAGTAGGCTGTGCATGTCCAAATCAGGCTTGGATTGGAGCCTAAGACAGAACCTCAGGTTCGGGAATGTGTCGGCAGGCTACCATATTATTATGCAAAATTTGGTGGACCTAATTGCAATATTTTTTTTCCTTTCTTTTATTGTGGACTTGACTAACCACCTACTTGGATTCCTTCGCTATTTGTTTCTTGCTGCAACTCCAAGTCTTGGTGGATTATATACAACTTTATTAATATTTTTATCTCTACAGGCCTGAGCATATATGTCTTGATTTGTTAGATGGTTTGCCTTTTTAGTTTTTTATTTGTTTGATATATATATATGTGTGTGGGTTGGTCTGACACTTACCACATTAGATTATACAATTAAAAAAAAATTGCATATTACTCGAGTTCTATTTGTCACTTTATTATAACATTTTTTTTTTCTTTTGGCAAAACTTTTTTTTCTTTGGTTTTCTTAGTATTTATAAGAATTAGAATATCTTAGAATCACCTCTCATTTGATTAAACAAGTCGCTAGCATTCGTACTAATGCATTTATGAAATAATTTGCTTCTAAAGTATATTTTCCCCCCTGTTTTTAGCTCAAATTGGAACATGGAAAAGCAAACCTAGATAAATAGATAAACAGTAGAAGAATTAGATTCATCTTCACATTCATGCTGTATGGCATCCAATTAAAAGATAATCTAAAGGAAAAATAATAATTATAATATTTTGTGCATGAATTTCCATAACTTAAAATTGAAATGACCCCAAAGAAACTTTTCTTCCCATCTAGTCCAAAATTGTTGCTCTAGAACTCTAGAAGCCTGCCACGGTCCCATTGACTCTTGGGGATACAAACGGCTAGCCAGTGACATGCTTGAGAATCCAAGTCTTTGTACGTAGGATTCACTGTTTGCCGACAGGGAAAGAGAAAAACATTTCAAGATGTTTCATTGTAGGAACTCCAGTGATCCTCGTATGGCTACGAAGCAACAAATTTTTCGAGTAATTTTCTTTATTATATATATATATATAGAGAGAGAGAGAACAAATTTGAGTAATGCGACATCCATAAGTAGAATCTTGTTACAATCCCTATAATTCTAGTAACTAATTCTAAGGCCTCTTTTCTTGGCATTAAGGATGAAGATCAATCAAGTCACCATGGGCTGTTCTGGGCTGGTGTTTGTCTGTGGTTGGATGGCATAAAACAAGCCATGCCAAATAGTGATTATCCTAAAGGAACGACAGCGACACTAGTGGACCACTAAAGTTACTGAGTGGTGACCAGAGCTACTCCAATAAGAGACAAAAGAGAGAGAGACAGAGAGAAGGAGGGGTAAAAAGAAAGACCAGAAAAGGAGTTAGAGCGAGACAAGTTGCTAAAACCTACTACCGCGCGTTACTGTGGATCGGACATTATTGAAATCTTATGTTGGGCCAGTTACTGAGCTGGAGTTCTAATACGGACTGGGCTTTAAAGCCCCTGGAAATATTTTTAATACCACTAAAGGTAGTGGGCTTGAAAAGATGTGCTGTCCACCCTCAAGACTTGCTTTGTTCTGCCTTTTCAAAAGTTCAATTTTGCTGGACTAAGACTCGTAGTCTTCTATTTTCAGGCCTCAGCTTCTCACTTCCATTCGAGTAGGTAACTAGTTTGCTGGCCGCACGTTGTCGGGGGTCTGCATATAAAAAAGTTTTTAATTTTTTAATTAATTCATATTAAAACACAAATATATTGTAATTAAGTTTGATTGATATTAATTTTTTAAAGAATATCATGTTGCAAAAAATCTCGATTTATTTACATCTTAATTAATTCAATTTGATTATTTCAAAAAATTCGAATTTAGATTTTTTAGCATTTGTTTACTAAATTTAATGCAAGAAGTTGATTTGACAAATTTCTAAATTTTCAAGATACTATAAATTTTCAACGCAAATTTTGCCCTGAATATTAATATGAGAAAAAAATTAGATAAATAAATTAACTTAAAATCAATTTTAAATCTCGTCAATGGAATTTTAATCTCTAAAATATTTTCAATCTTAAAATTGATATATACGTATTAAATGAAAGGATATTTTTACTCCAAAGCTAAGCTATATAGCATTTCATTCTCAAATTTAAGGTGGAAAGCTAATTTTCTTAACCACTAAAGTTTTATGGCTCCCTGTTTTTTTTTTTAATGGAAATTCTGCCTCTAACATTAAGAAGGGGGGGGGGGGGGGGGGGGGAGGGGTATAATTTTTGATCGTCTAAGTTGATAGCATTAGTTTGAAATTTTATGTTAAAAAATGTTTATTCTATAGAAAACTCAATTTATAACAGGTTGGTTGTCAGCATGCTGATCAGGACAAAACATGGTAAGTGTAACGGACACCTAAAGACCTAAAAGTGTGCCGTTGAGCTATCGAAACTTTATAAGCAAAATGTCAGGCATATTTATAATAAACAGTATTATAGGCCCATGAAGCTATCACAAGCATATTTTTGTGTCTGCAAAGAGATCTGGCTGTGTAGATGAATAAAAGAGAATGGCCACAAATTAAAAGTAAAAACAATAGCTATTTCCTTTATTTATGTAGCTCGTCGTTAAAATGCTACAAATTATCATAGCTGAATTACAAACATGCCTATCCGAAAATACGACAGCAAATATTTTTTTTCTGAAAAGAAATGCGAGGTTATGAAGTCTATATATTCTTTATTTTATTTTTGCCATGAATCCATTCTGACGTAATATATACATATATTTGTGTGTGTGCGCGCACATGTGTATGTAAGTAATTTTTATTTTTTTAACATATTAAATAGCAATTGAAAAATCAGAATTGATTCATTATAACGACCGACATATATCAAAATGTAAAAAAAAGTTTAAAAACAACAATTACTATCTTTTCCAACATAATTTTTTTTTGAGAAACACAACCGAAGACCGTTAAAACGATAGCTAACTTTAATTTTTTGCAAGGCGACATGGATTCATAACATTTTCTCACAACGAAGTCGTATACCCAAAATCACTTATCACATTTCGTCCTAAGAATCAAGATATTAGCTTGTCCAATGCTATCATCAACTATGCAACCTACTTTGAATCTTTACATAATAAAATAGGATTTATTAGCACTAGTTTATTTAGGATTTATGTTTGTTGGGCAGTGGGCCCAAATCTCCCTCCGAGAAAAAAAAAAAAGAAAAAAGAAAAAAAAAGAGATAAAGAAAAAGACAATAAGAGTTTTTACGTGGAAAACCTCCTTAAATTTAGGAGTCTCTCTAGTACAACTAGAGGCTTACAATAAACATAAAAATTTGGACACAATATAGTCAAAAATCTTGACACAAATTTTTCTTACTCACCCTCTATTGTCTCTCTCAATTTCACTCTCCTTTTCTCTCTTCTTACGCCTTGCAAAAAATGAAAACACAAGAGCCTATTTATAGGCTATTACGCCATATGAATACATGCCGCATTCAAGAAATACAACACCTACTTGCAGCATTATTTGGTTAAGCATTGTTGTATGCATGCATACAATCTTTCAAAGATTTATTGCTACGATAATCTTTGAAGAAATTACTCGTTGTAGCAATCTTTGAAGAAAATTGATGCTCGCAGTAATCTCTAAACCTTTGAATTAACATTCAAAGGTGATGGGTCCTTCCAACATGGACGAGACCCATAAATTCTCCCCTCATGCCCATATGGGAGGAATTGTCATTCCGACAATTCGAATGACAGGATTTAAATTTTTCTTTTGGTATGAGTTTTGTTAATATGTCATATCCATTTTCATCGGTATGGATCTTCTCAAGTTATAGCAACTTCTTCTCCATTACATCCCTAATCCAATGATATCTCACATCAATATGTTTTGATCCGGAATGAAAAGAGGAATTTTTACTAAGATGAATAGCAGCTTTGGCTATCACAAAATAGTTGATATTTGTCTTACTCGAAATCCAAGTTCCCGAAGAAACTTCTTCATCCATAGCAACTCTTTACAAGCTTCCGTTGTAGCAATAAACTCGCCTCGGTGGTAGAACGTGGTACACATTTTTTAAGCTTCGATTGCCGTGATACGACTCCTTCTACAAAAGTGATCAAGTAATCTAATGTAGACTTTCTAGAGTCGACATCACCAACCATATTTGCATCCGTGTAGCCAACTAACACAGGTTTGGCATCACCAAAACATAAGCATAATCTGGATGTTCCTCGAAGATACCCGAAAATCCACTTTACTCGTTGCGTAATGTTCTTTTCTCATATTGAAAAAAAATCGACTCAATACGCCGATAGCATCAGCAATATTTGGTCTTGAGCACACCATAGTGTATATCAAACTACCAACTCGCCGAAGCATAAGGAACTCGCTCCATCTCTACCTTTTTTTCTTCGTAGAAGGACTCGATTAGTACTTAGTCTAAA